ATCAATGAAATCCGCCGCCGTGTCGTGCGGGATCGAAGGGTGCGTTTTTTATCGATTATTTTCACCACCACTGTGTGTATAGCAGATATGGAGAGAAAGTAAGCGGTAGATAACACAAGAACAGCTTGTATACACTGCAATATTATTATTACTACTATTTCTACTACCTACTACACTACGGCTATTACTACTATATGTGCTCGTGGCATCTAATCGTATATTTCTACAAATGTTTACGTTTGTGTGCTTATACCTACATATTTTATAATAATATAATGTCGGGCATTTGTGCAATGGGTTTGTCGGTTATAACTACCACTGCGAAAGGCCGTCGATGCTGGCGCATATCACACACACACACATACACTGCACACATACGCGGTGTCCATGTGCTTATAGAAAGTTGTTTTATAAATATTGTTTTTTCCCCTTCGACTTTAGAACAGCTATTCCGCTCTCCTACCCGTTTTACTATGTATTATATAGTTGCCGCACTTGCTTCCTTTTTGCCGCCGACCGCTTCTTCTTTTACTACACGTCTTCCTGTCTCTCCGATCGCCAGAGAAAGTGAAATGTTTGCAAACACCGTGGCGTTGACGTGCCAGCGTGAAGTGTATAATATTCTTATCTCAGTGGCGGCGGCGACCGGCCTCCGGAATCGCCTCGCAGGTTACTCTAACGGTAAATCCAAAACGTTTCCCATTTTTTATAGTATTGATTTTTATTGTCTATTATTATATACGTGTTTCGACGAGAAAACGATATTCTCGAATTCCGGTTTCGTTCTAACGTCGCAGCACACCGTATATAGTACTATAATAAGACACTAGGTTATATGTGCGTTGCTTGCCGCGATTTTGGAGGTTTGGCCGCGACCGTTCAAGTCTCTTCTTTTGGCCAGACAATACACTACGTACGGGCACGCGTTTACTCTCCAAGCCATTAATAATATTGTCATCCGGCGGCACTGTGCGGTTCGCTATAACAGTCAGTAGGCAGTTAAAAAGTTATTAACGGGTTTACTATTTTTTTTTTTTTGTTAAAAACGGACGTCTCGTTTGAGAATATAGAACACACGCTTTTCATCGACTGCCTCCACAAACGATCATAATATAATATACAATAATAATTACACCCGTGGCGCGTGGTGTTCATTGTTAAAAGTCGATTGTGAAAGAGACGCGACAATTCGCCTAAGGGCAGACCGAAAAACGATAATGCTTTTGGAAAATAATTTTACTTTCTTCTCTTAAAAACTCGATTTTCATTTAAAACTCGTTAAGGCTTCTGCCCCGTTCTGGCAAGTCGGATTATCTTTAATATTGTTTGTTTTTGGCTTATAAGTCGAGAAACTATCCAATAATCATATGTACGCTGTGTAAAACCTTAATAAAACAACAACTTGGTATCGACGATTTCTTCGTAATCCAAATCCAATTCGTCTTGTTCTCATCACTAATAATGTTCAAGAGTTGAAACCCCACCAGCTGTAGTGTTGAAACCGACCTATCTCGCTTGTGGTGGTCGTCGGCTGAGTTTCTGTCTGGTGTCATCGATTGCCGCACGTGCACTCTATTGATCAATTCTATTATTTTGCGGCTGTAAGTTTTTACAGAAACGTGTCCGAAATGCTTTCTTTACACTTTCGAACATATTTAGGTTCGAATCTCTGCATAAACGCCGGCTGAGCAATCATATAATTTAAAAATATAATTCATTTTTCAATTGATTTTTTAACAGCATTTTCAGTGCTCAAAACAAACTGTAAACGTGCATAACTGTATTGTTTATTAGAAAAAAAAATTGCCAGTGTCTTGCTCCTCGTTTAACACAAAGTTCAAACCATATGCCCATATTTGAATATATTCTCTACCATAATGTTAGATAATATTGGAACCACGTCTGAGCTATACACATCTTTTGTATTATTACAACCTAATATAACCTAACCTATCCAGTCCGTCCCCTCGTCTATTCTAAAACTTTCTGATGTACGACACACACATTCTGGGTTTTGTTAATTTTTATCTACGCCATTTTAACAATCCGCCTATTAGTTTAGTCCATTCCGTATAACTTTGGCATGATCATACTGTATATCATGTATCTTATGCATGTATCATATCTGCACTCTTCCTGCGTCTCATCTTGGCTGGTTTCCGTTTTACTTTTTGAGCTTTTCGCAAAGCCATCGTATTTTTTAAAATCCTACGTATTGTATTTTACCCGTGACCCAACAGATTCTTGCTTCTGAATATTTTAACAAAACAAAACCTATAATTAAAAAACTAATTTGGCGATCAAACCGCATCCGTGTTGGACTAAGTTTGTGATTTCGTAGAAGAACGTGGCGTTGTTTCTCCTGTTGCTCGTATTATTATTATTATTATTATTGTACACAGTCGACCGGACGGAAAATCGGAATGCGATCTGATTAAAAAAAAAAATAGTTACAACGAAAAAAATATAATATAATAAACTCATTGGCCGGTGGCTAACGTACTCGCGGCTAACGGGCAACGGTTACTTGTACACTATAACTGCTGTTACTTGCTATATGTACTAAAACGACTACCATAACACGAGTGTATAGATAGTTATTACGAAAGATGAAAACCAACGGTGGTTTTTTTCTTAACTCACGTGAGCGTGTGCGCGCGCGTTCACCTTGTTATCATCTGCGTGTGAGAGTTAAACTGTTAAAACGGGAAAACAAAAATTATGTCCATAGCACATACCTAATCTATAATAATCGAAAATTTGAAAATATAGAAGCCCGGGTACAAGTAACAAGAAGCACGTACCTCGATATATCATTCAATTTGTGCAGTCTGTACATTGGCTTTGGACAGTAACGTATCATTACACGAGAGATACAATCATCTGTGTTTTTACGACACATCGGGGACTAGTTAAAATACCGATGTCGTGTTGACCAAGTTGTGACGATAGTAATTGATGAAAAAGACAAATGAACAAAAAAAAAAACAACTGGATTCATTTTTTTTTTCGAGTTTTATTACACAAATAAAGCTGCAAGTTTTTTTTTTAATTTTCAAAAATTATTTTAAATACATACAAATGAACGGATTGAAAATGTTTTCTAGCTAATATTTACATTATTTCTCATAACTAAAATATAAAATATATCTATTAAAATGGTTAGCTGTAAGATATTCTGTTAGCTTAACTGATTACTAAACTTGTAAAAAAAAAAAATTTTAAGTTTTGTCTTTTTGAACGATATAAACGTTTCATTTCAGAAACAATATTTTATACCGTTCTAAAGAGCATGACTTAACTTTAAAATGTTTTTATTAACTTAAGTCAGTTCAGCTGTTAAAATATTACAGTATTAATAATTTTTATCAATGTTGTTTGTTGTAGCTATAACAATGTAAATTTTACCTTAGATACGCTTTCAATTTGTAATAATAAATTTACCTAAACACATACTTAAACGCTATTAGGTAACATTTTATTGAAACATTAAACTATAATATAGTATAGTATATTATACTCTCGTGATTTAATCGTTAAATTCGTTTAGGTTTACTTCTGAAGTTTTATTGAACGTATTTATTCGGCCAAACATGGTGTACAAACTGCCAGAGGAAGACATTGAGTGCCTTAATTAATATACACTTGCAAAAACAGATTAATATTTTACCTTTTGCTGTATTTTAAAGTACGAAAATTAGACTAATTTCAATTTTTAATTAATGGTGCATACTTCCCCCCTTAGAAATTCAATGATAAAAACTGTTATAATTTTTATTTTTCTAAAAATCAAGTGAAAATCTAAAAATCCTGTCTCTACGGCTAGCAACAGTCGTTGTAGTTTACGAATGACGGAAATGTGTGTGTGTTCTCCGGTCGATTTATATTGTATTGTTTTTAACCAACTCTATAAAACGTTTTGGTGTTAATACTACTATACGGCTCGTCTAGATGATATTATCATTATGATTATCACCGGCCCTCGAGCGCCCGTATCACGTTAAAAAACGAAAATAGAAAGTAAAACAAAAGGGAACCGAAAATTATTCACATCTGAACTATCGTGTCCGCCGACCGGTTATTATGTGATTACGGTTATTATTACTTTTGCAGACACCAACCAAAGCTCAGGGGTCCAGCTCAGTCGACCACTTCATTCTTATCTAACCAGACACCAATCACAAACACACACACACGTTTTCAATGTTGAACGAATGTGATAACGTGCACGATTTTATAACACTCGAGTTTTGGCTACATAATTAGTTTAATAGAAGTATGAAACTTTCATTCTGCATAGTTCAGTCGGAATCGTACATCTTACTTACAATTACACACATATTGTTTGAGAGCTTTGACATTTTTTAGATTTTTATCACAACGACATAGTTTGTCCGACTGTTTAAATAAAATCTACCTTGACTTCATCGACCGCATTAATCGTAATTCCAAGGAAAACATACACACACAAGTTATGCCTTCTGTTTTTTTTGAAATATTTAAATGTGATCGAGTCACTGTCTGCCTGTTCGTTATGCCGACTGTTTTCTGTGCACTTCTTAGCATACAAACAGCGCCGTTTTAACAGCCGTCTCCATAGTATGGTAATATATCCGTTTACGGTACAACGCACATAATGCCCGCTTATCATCGTTATTCGTTATTCATCGATTGTGTATTAGTCAATGGTTATATTGTCAATTACTAAAAGTTAGTAACCCGTACATATTATATGTACGAGTATATACACCAACAAGTGCCGTAAGCATAAATCCCATCGCATACTTGCCGTCTATAATAATATTATGATATTTGCGAAACAATAAAATGGAAAAGTTCTAGAGGATATTCCGTGCCCACGCCATCGTAATTCGCGCCTTTCCCTAAGTCATTGTTTTTGGGCTTGCCAGTCGTTAACAAAGACACCGGATCCTCCTATAATGCACACCGATTATACACAGCGGATATTATGATGTAAGTTTTTTTATGTTTTCTTTTAGCCGCTGTCATTTCTAAGAGTACAAATCTGACTAGTCATCAGCAAACGACGGGGTGGGCGACTTCGACGCCGATCGTGTCCGAACGAGACCAAAGACCCCGTTCGTCGACGGCACCCGTTATCGTGGCGACCGTTCCGACCAACAAGACCGACAGAAACGGTAATGATATTTTTGTATTATCATTATTATTAAGCATAAACATCGTGGTCTTTGATTTTCAAATATGTTGAACAATTATATTTATTTTTGGAATTAGCTTGATAAATAATGATAAAAAATTTGACGACCAAATTAGTCAGAGAATATATAAAATCTATATCTTATATAAAGAAAATGTGCGTAGTTTATTGTCATTTGATACATTGTTTGACTTTTTAATTACAGTCGGATCTAATTCGCCTCCTACCAGAGAAAAATCGCGATCCGAAGTAAAAGTGCGAATTAGGTCGTCCGAACAACATAGGTCCAACTCGAGTTTGTCTCAGACGTCTTCTTCGGGGTGGGATCAAACCGATTCGTCGGGTAAGCAAGCACCACAAACGCTACTACGGTTGCTAGAATGTTGGTTTTTACGAATCTGCTTATTTGGCTGTTTCAGATTGCGTTACCAGAAGATTACTGATCGAAGATTTCGAAAACGAATGCAAGTTAAAAGAGATCGCCGACTCTATTTCTCGTTTACACCCTCGCAACAACAACGGGGTGTTGTCTAAATCTAGAAATCTGGAACCCACAAGGGACACAGACGTCACGAATCAAAAACAGGTAAGTGTTTTGCGGTTGTGTTTGCATGATTTGTCCAATTTGATCGTTTTAAACGTCTGCTATGCCTCCTACAGGTTCGTGGTGATCCGGACGGCTGTGGTTTGGACTTGTTGCGATATTCGCCCAGCTCAGAACTTAGAGTTGAACTGCCGACCGAAGATCTTTTAAACATAAAAAAAGGCTGGCTTATGAAACAAGGAATCGCCGCTGATGTAAGGATCCATTATGAGCAATCGCAAATTATTATTATTAATATCATCTTATATTTTTAAGGAGTGGAACAAACACTGGTTTGTTTTACGAGGTTCCGCATTACTATTTTATCGCGACCCCACTGCAGAAGACCAAGGTATCTTAGACGGCGTTGTCGATCTAAGTTGTGTAACCATGGTCAGTGAAGTACAAGTGAACAGAAATTACGGATTTCAAACTATCGTGAGTCCTTTAATAGATTAGGCTAACCGATATCGAAATTGTCTCATTTTTGTCAATTATTTTTATAGTCTTGGGACGAAAAAAGAGTTGTCTTATCGGCAATAACGTCTGGGATAAGAACCAATTGGGTGTCTGCCATCCGAAGAGCTGCCGGACTAACAGAAGACAATATGTTGGTCAAACCTCCGTAAGAGTTTTACATATTTTTATTTCGCCGAACATGTTTCCTTACTGTTTGCGTTTTAGGTTGGACGGTACCTTGTCATCGTCGAGATCGGTGATTTTTTCATCAGACGATGAGTACAGGACGGCATCTGAGTGTGGTCGACACGAGAGTAGTGATTGGGGAGACACTTTACCGCCTTCGCCACCTCTCAACCGAACGCCCATATCGAAGGTCAAAGAACGAGCCAGAGGAGGTCCCCGGAGTAGAATATTCACGGGCGGAAGTCTGGCTGCGAAGCGTTCAAAGTCTTCACCCCCTGTATCGCCGAGAAGTATATCCGATACTTCTAAATCCGAAGAACTCTTACTGTCTTCTTGTGCCGAATCCGACGACACGAAGGTAAATAACATTGTTAAACGTAATGTTTCATATCATATTTCATCATCATTATAATATTTCAGAGCGATCGTAGTTCTTTAGTCGGTCGTGTCGACAAACAAGCGGACGATTTGGCCGATGTAAAAAAACAACTTACCACCGTACTGTGTCAATTGAGTAACGCCGAACAAGAATTGATAAGACTGCGACAACGCAAACACGACGTGTTGACGTTGCAAAAACAAGTCGAGACAATGGCTACTTCGTTGAAAATGGCTGAAGACATGATCAAACAAAAATCGGACCAACTATCGGAATTTGATTCATTGAGAAAACTGTGAGAATGAAAAAAATGCTTTGAAAAACATATTTTTATTGCCCGATTATAATTTTTTGTTCGCTGCAGTTACAGAGACGAGAAGAAGAATTGGGAAGCTGCTTTGTTGTCTGTACAAAATCAATCTGAGCAGCAAATCGAAGAACTAGAGAGGACCAGAGAACAAGTATCTAGGCTCAGGGGTACATTAGCTGATGTATCTGATCGGTTGGCCAGAGGAATCGAGGAAAACGAATCTCTTTACAGGAGAGTACGCGAGTTGGAAGGCCGTTCTATGCCGATAAACACCTCGATTCGAGACAGCCGTGCCAGAAGCTTAGATTCATTAAGTGATTTGACAAACATCGATTTAGATTTAGATACCGAAAACATGGATAAAGAGAGGTCAGTTTTAGTAGACATAATTTATTCGTTTTAATTGCATAGTATGTTAGCTAAAATTTAACAAATTTGTATTTACAGAATTGTGGAAGAATACGAAGACCTTCGTTGTAGATTTGAAAAAGCCGTCCACGAAATAAGAGCGATGAAACGGGAACTGAAAGAATCGAATGTACAAACAGACATTTTAGAGCTGGAACTCATCAACGCCAGACAAGATATACAAATCAGACAACAAACGTACGAAAGCCAAGCTTCCATGATGGCTGCTAGAATTCAGGATCTGACTACCAAACTCACGACTGCCGACAAACAGGTAAAACCTTTTTGCTTGTTGAATGAAACCAAACCAAGATGTATTGAGTGATTATTTATTTTATGTTTAGATTCGGCTGCTAAAACAAAAACTAACAAAGTCCGACGGCCGAGATAAGCGCAGGTCCTTGTCTTTAAAGGGTCGTGAATCGTTTACTATTTGCAAAGAACTGGAGGAGAAGCTAATCGACTTAGAAAAGAAAATCGGCAAACTCGATTCGAAAGGCATCACCGCGATAGAAAAACCGGAGCCGGTAGACAACGCAGGGTGCCGGGCAAGCACGGTGGCTTCCAGACTAAGACGCAAGTCGCTGGATAGCGCCACGAGCAGTGAACCGATGAAAGTGTTGATTCGAATGACATCTCTCGAAAACCGCGTCGCCGACTTGCAGAAGACCCACCCGGACGCCATGAATATTATCGTGGAGGACGGCGCCGAAACTAAGGACACGGAAGTGTTCAAAATCGAACGGGCCTGGAGAGGTAAATTAAGCGAGATAGCGTCTAAGAGGCGAAAGCTACTCAACGACGGATGTCTGAACGACGAAGCCAAGACCGCGTTGTTAGCTGAAAAAGTCGCTACCGAATCGGTGTTTTTGAACAAACTAAGACAACTGTTGAAAAACGACGCTGCGATAGAAACGACAAATAGACTGAAGAGTCGCCTGGAAGGAAATTTGGATTTGTTCGCGGAGGTCAGTAAAATCGCCACCATAAAGAACAATACCGAGAAGAGAGTGAAGGAGTTTTTGGACGCCCGGTTGAACGCTATTCAGAAGTACAAATGGGACGCCGACGAAGTGAGGACCGTCGCGTACGAGTGTCTGGAGAGCATCGTGTTGGATACGGAAATGCACATGGCGTTAGACTATTACTTCAAAACCCAAGATCTAACCGACAAGGGTAGCGTCATGTTGATACAGTGCGTTATGAACAGAGGTAAGCTGGAAACTTGGCTGAGCGACGTTCGCCAACTGATCGAAGCGCAAATCGAAGATGTCGTACATGCGTTACCGGCTAAAACCAAATGCTGCGAAAACAACAACTACCTGGTGGAGTATTTCGAAGTAGCCGTGCTCCATTGTATGCTGGAATCCGGCTTGAAACTGGTGGAGAAAACGCCCAAAAGCAAACTGGACATGGACGAGGACGGGGCGCTGTCCGAGTGTCAGTTCCTCGCTGCCAAGATCTGTCGGTGCTTGCCCATGCCGAACGACGAGCGGATGTTGCACGACAGCCTCGGTGGCGTCGAATCCGAAGTGATGGCTTTGCGGTCTTGCATGGAGGATATAATTGACAAGAGACAGTTGAATGGCCCCGTGTCCGACCCGCAGCCGTTGCGCAACGAGAACAAGCCTACGTCTTGGATCGAAGACGTGTGCAACAAGTGTCATGACCTGCGTATGCAAATAGCGTCACTGCAGATGTACCTGGCGCAGTGCCAAGAATGTCAGAGGTGCGTTTACCTACAGGAAAAGATCAAGGGCTACGAACAGGAACGCGACGACGAGCTGGAAAACGTGCAGAGACGACACCAGATGGACATGGCGGAGTTGAAGAGCAGGCTGGAAGAGGAAAAGCGCAAATTGTTGGCGGTCGGCGAACAAGAGCAAAACGCGCTGAGAGACCGCGTGAAGAAATTGGAACGACGGTTGAACGCTCTAGACTCGGAGTACAACCAGCAAATGGACAATTTGAGGTTGACCTATCAAATCTCGTTGGCGTCGAACGAGTCGCCTAACACTATCTTGACGGAAGAGTCGACCAGACTTAGGTACCAAACGGAAATCGAACACTTGCGGGTAAGATTTATGTCGTGTCTCGTGTAGTTACTTGACGGTACGGTTTATTGTAACACTGTAATTTACTTAATTGTTTTGACGAAATAGGCTCTATGCGAAAAAGGTTTGCTGGCCATGGAGAACTCGCACAGGCGTATTATCGTCGAACTAGAAGAGAAGCACCGTCAGGAGACCGAAGCGTTGAAGGTGGAGAAAGAACAGGCCCTAGCCGAAGAAACTCACGCCACACTAGCTGGTGAGTAAAAGACAGCTGTATAACGAAAATCATATCGAAGCTAGCTATTTAAGGTTTTCCGACTAACGTTTGTTATGATAATGTTATTATAGCGTTGGACGCGATGAGAAAAGCCCACGAGGCTGAAGTGCAAAAGGAAGTCAGTAAGTTCAAGACGGAGTTTTTGAAAAAGATCCAGTCCAGCCACGACATCGGAGCACTGCACAAAGAACATGAGTGAGTATAATAATATAAAACAACAATCATAATATATTGCCGGTGAACTGCTATGATGACTATCTTATCGGTGTTATTAGAGCCGAAATGGAAGAGATAAAAAAAGAAATACTCTCGCTGTCCGAGAAGTATTCCATCAAGTGCGTCGAGTCTGCCAATTTAGAAGAGGAATTGAAATCGGCCAATTCTCAACTGGCGCAAGCCCAGCAACAAATCATTCAACTCGATTCTAGGTAACATCACGGTGCTCATTTTCTAGGCCCATTCGAAGATTCGTGTGCTTAAAGGTTGTATTACTTAATTCGTTTCAATCATTATAGAAATAAACAGCTAAGGGCGCACTTAATATCCGAGAGCAACGACGTACCGCTGGAGTTTGAGCCAGCGAACACGGACGCTGAACTTGGCCGATTGAAACAAGACATACTGGTAAGCCCCCGTGTCTGAACCTCGAGCATGCAAATGGTTTTACTACAATGATATTTGATTGCATATAATATTTTTAGCGTTGATTTTTTTTTTAAACATTTGAAATTTCTTGTAACATAATTTTAGTATAAAGTATATAGTTTAATATATAATGTATATAAAATACCGAACGAATAAGTCCAATTTCAAATCAGATAAAAACATTTTAGATTCCTCGATGTACTTAAATAATTTGTCTACGTTTCTTTCAACATATTCCTATTCTTTTTCATCTTCGCCTTATACTCTCTACTGAGCTCAATTTTCTACATCACGTTCAATCACCCCAGCTATCCTCGTACCACTATTCCGCATATCCATCTTTTCTCCGGTCTTTCTCTTCCTCTCATTCATCTCCATAACATGTCTCGCTGCCTCTGCCTCGTCTTTTCTCATAACATGACTGAACCATCTCAATCTATTCTCTCTCATTTTCCCCATAATTGATGCAACTACTATACTCTCCCTCGTGTATTAATTTCTTGTATTTCTATTAAAGATAGTAAAAAATGCATAGTCTCTATAAAAGGTGTATAGAAAATTGAACAACTTACCAATAATGACCAATTTACCAATAGACTCTCAAAATACAAATTAAAAAAAAAATCTCATTTAAATATATTTTTATTTTGTTTAATTTTCTCTCGATTCTAAATATCATAATAACTCGCATTTCGATTGCGTTATAAATTAAATACGATTATAACTGTTTTTATATGTTATTGAAATTGGCAAAAATATCTACATTCTGAACGTTTCCGGTGTATTTATTGATTTGCTTTGACGTTTACCTACTTGCTCTTTTATTTGTATTCACACCTTAATACCTTTACCTAAGTAGTATCCTTTCTCGTGTATTATTCGCGTCCTCCGTACCTACCTATCCTCGTGTACAATAAATTGTATAGTATTAATACTTCTGTAGAATCTAAAAATAATAATTAGTAATACCTATCGTAGTTAGTATTTTCTTGTGTATTTTAGTTTTGTATTGTATTTTGTATAATATTATCATGCTTGTTTGTATATTTCATACCTACTCTTTGCTTGACCGCTCACTACACAGCATGGCGAATCGCTTGAAAGCATTTTGAACAGTGTCGAACAGTTCAGCGCTGGCGCAGTAGTGCCTCGAGTCGACCTACCCGTTATTGTAGCGCTGGTAAATAAGTTGCGGCACTTCTCTAGCGACAATCTTCAAGGTACATAATATTATAGACCTGAGACGATTGAGTAAAATGCCATTTTTTTTTAAAAATGTTTGTTTTATAATATAACAATGTGGTCGATGTTCTCGAAAATTAATATTTAGCCAAGTATACCGAGAGTGAATAACGCAGCTCGAACGAATCTAGGCGCAATTCATCGAAACCGCGCGCTGGGGGTGAATTTTGAGTAGATTGTCAAAGCTATTATGAAATTAAGAAAAAAAAACCAACGTCCTTTCAATCTGAGAGCATTTTTTGTTTAACATCATAACATTATTTCAAGGCACAACGTTTCTATTTCCAGATAGTTTAAACAGCGTTTAGTATTTAGCATCAATACATCCATATACGCATTGGATGTTATGACATAATTATAATTAACGGGGGGGGGGGGAATGTAACCTATTTAATACGAGCAGCAATTCGATAGGTACCCTAATGGTGCATATTTTTGCCTTGTTGTCGAACATTTTTCTTCGGTCGTCAATCACAGTCGGAATGTAGGTACATCATAAGTCGTATAGGTTGTTGTACACTTGTACCGCCTAAAGTGATCCAGAGGTCATAAACGTTCATAATGTAGGACGTTAAATGATAAATATTAAAACGTTAAGGTCGTGTTTTAACTGTTTGCAAAACAAAACCTTGGTCGCGGCACGGGTCGTTGGCACGCAATAAAGTTTTTATCAATGGAATGGAGGTCGCGCCTACTCTTAAAAAATAAAAAACGTGCATTACTATGCTTACGGCTCATTATTTCCTGTAGTTTAAACTTTTAACAATGCGGTGCCTACCATAATATAACTTCTGACCTTGTATATAGCTTTACAACAAGTTATGCTGTGTTAGAAATGTCCTATTAAACTTCGCGTAGAAAGTACCTAGGCATTCAACAATACGAACACACGCGGCCTTTTTAAAGTTTAATGCGTTTCTTCAGTTGTAGGTATTTCCAATTTATACACAACATTATTATGTATTTTTTAGACATTCGACACCTCCCACACGTGCAGACAATAGGTCTGATAGCCATTAATATTGCTCGGTGACGGTTTGCGGTATTATAGTTAATTATGGTGTGTCGATTTTTCTTTTGCTGTCTGTATTGGGAAAAATCTGTAGGTATGGCAAAAAAATTCACCCCTAGCAAAAAAAAAAACAATAATTGTATATTATATTATGTCGGTAAACGCAAATACCAACGACAAAATGTGTACCTGTGTAATTAAAAATGTTTTTGCATACTAACGAAATTATTTTTTTAACTTGATTTTTGTAGAGTCCATTGTCGACGAGTCACACGCTGCATCAAAAACGCGTAACGTGACTCTCAAACGGACGGAACCCTCGCCTCTAAATCAGTCAGGTACTTAAGTTCAACATGTTTTCATTGTTAAGGTGCTAAGTGTTGTCACGCACAGACTTGTACATAGAAATTAAACCGACAAACTCCGACGGTGTTTTAAACGACTTACACTAAAGTTTTCCACAAGAGAGTTTACTCATCGCAATGTACCTAGGTACCGCAAGATATGGAATTGTGTAAATAAATATTAATGACTTAAGATCAGCTATGGCTTGCTCAATTAGGCTTACCTTACGATTTGATTAAAACGCCCACCAAATACAACAAACTTAGAAATATTATTTTCAACATAGCATCTATTTATAAAACAAATATGGGATATGTTTTAGTGGCAGCCCGAACCCAAACACAAAACCAACAAATCGACCGACAGTAAATAGCCAAAGTTGCCGAAGCTTGGAAAAAAAATATTAAGTTTAAAATTAAACAAGTTTTGTGCAAAAGAGGTGTTATTTCAACTAAAAAAACACTCAAATATTTAAAAAAAAATTAAAATATAACAATATGATTATTATATTATTAATATTAGCGTTTTTAGGGATTTTTAAAACATTAAAAACAAAAGTTCTTGTCATATTCGACTAAATATTTTGCAATTATAAATAAATTGTAATTATACATACAACGATTTTATTTTTAATTGAATTTTCAGACCAAAAACCATACAAAAAATCCACTCATTTGTTTAGAACTACCTATAATTATCATCTTCGATTTTTGCTTATAGTGCATTTGAAACTGTAAAGGTGCTCAAGTTGGCATGTTTATAATGGACATCTAAAATTAATAATAATAAATTGGAACAAATAGAAGTTTATAAGTTATTAATTATAAAAAATATATCTCTTTGTAAGAAATCAGAACGAGTGATAATTCTGTGCTACGTGACTTTGCGTTTTGACTTTTTGATTTAGTGTTTAAATATTGATTAATTTGTTCATCTTTACAGAGCCGAAGAGGTATCTGACATGTCACAGTAACATTATCAACACTAATGACAGGAGCAGCCGATCGTCTCCGTTTAACCGGTGCAATGGTATTCTGTTGAAGTCTCCGGGCATGTGCGGGATGGTGGCCGACCGCAAGAAAATTTTTGAACAGCGCTAACCTACAAAAATAACAACTACTGTACACTTATTAGCATAACTAGTTGCTGTTTTAGTTTTCAACAAGTGATTCATATTGAATTATATTATTATAAAATTACAAACTATATCAATTAATATTATACTTAATATATAATTTTTTTTTTTGCGTTTCACAAACGCCTATGTGTTCAACAAAACTTATATATTATTATCTATTTTGTATACCATTTATATATTATTATATCATTATTAGAATAGACATTATAAAAGCAAAATCAATTTACAAAACGTTGTTTTGACATTGACATATTATATTTTAATGATATTATTTTTATCGCTACAAGACCCATTAGGCATTTTTATCCAATAGCTGTTGCAGATATTGTGTTTTGTTATTTAATAATAATACTAGTTTTAAAAACTCACGTTTATTATTATTTATTTTTATGTAGAAAATAGCTGTTTTTTTTTTTTTGTTGAATAGTGTTTTAAAACTTAAAGAATTAACTAATGTGTGAATTTTTTTTTTTGCTACAATTTGTCTTGTCAGGCAACTGACAAAACTATTCCTTTTTGACATAATCCATAAAAAGGTCAATTGTTATTTTATAAAAATTATTTTAACCTGCCGTTTGTTTATTCATCAATAACTTATATTAAAAACTATAATAAACATATTGTGTTTTGATAGCTTTCTTTGTTACACAGCCCCTCCTCATCCACATTACAGTTGTTAACTTTATTTATTATAATAAATGTAATTTAATTTTTATTGTTATTGCGAAGCTCAATCTAACAAATATATATGTGTACACACAATTTAGATTTGTTAATTCACATGTTTTTATTTAATATCTTAAACAACCTATCTTTAATTATTATTATTAACAGAGTGTGCAAGATTAGACGTAGTCGTGACAACACCTTTGGAATATTGAACATTTACTTATGAAAACTTATTTAAGTTGTTTAACTTTGCTAGTTTTTCAAAAATAAGTATTCGTTTTCCCTGACAACTTCCCTTGAAATTCAGTGCACTACACAATATTAGGTAATAGCAGCTTTCTTTATAAATTATTTTTTTAGAAAATCCATACTTGTTTATTATTTATACTTTTTTGTTTAAAATTTCCTAAATTTACAAATGGTGTATGACCATAACTTTCAATTATAAAATATTAAGTTGGCATAAATCACTTTCTTTATTACCATAAGTGTCTTTTGTTTTCAATAAAGGTTCAAAATAAAATAACATTTTACACTGTGTTCAAAAATTCATAATTGACACACTACTAGTTTTTATAATTAAATGTTGATAAAAATGTGAAAAAATAAAATATTAAATTTAAAAAAAAAAAAACCTTATACGACTTAGTACAGATTTTGACAAAATGTTAAGACGTTAATAACAAAACAATATCTCAAACAAAAAAATTAATTAATAATCATGTGAAATGCTGTACATAAAACATTAGTATTATACACGTTTTCATCTTCAAACAGACAAATTAGTAGTTAACAAAATAGTTAAAGAAAAATGTAGAGTACATTACCGCCTTTTAAATTAAAAAAATGTATTAATATTGTTTTATTAAATATTTTTATTATTATTGCTTAGATTTTGAGCTATTTGTGCATAAATATTAAACGAATAATTATGAAAAAGATATATCCAAATTTATATTCTAGTTTTGTATTGTAGAGTTCCTCAAAATATATTAATTTATCAACTAAGGTAGTTTAAACGATTGGGCGTTATTAGTGGCTATAAAATAATTATAAATAAGTCATCTATTTTATTTTTCGCTCATTTCCTTTGTACATTGTTAAAAAATTACCTTACAAAAATAAAATAATGATTTAAAAATGCTTGGATAGTACCGTAATAATTAATACCCAAAAATGTTTTTATTTATAAATATAAAAAATAATTTACTTTATTTAATCTTTAGCACATTTACAAAAACATATAATATGTACAATCACCAGCTTTCGCTGCGGTCTGAATAACTATTTGTCATTATTCATCGTTAAATATTTTTGGTTTGAACATCAATTATCCTTAAAATTTGTTTTGCTGTGGGTCGTTTTGTATGGTCCTGTACTGTACACATTTCAAATAATTCTATAACACGACTATACTTTGGGTTGGATGTTAAATCTTTCGGCAAAGGCGGTCTTTGTCCTATAACAAAAATATAATATATATCGGAATTTCTCAGTGTATAAATAACTTAAAACTTACCTAAATTGGCGTCCATGTCTTCACTGATTCCCGTATAATACGTTTCGTCCAATGCCGTATTTATGTTCGGTACAGACAGCGCCATCATCTCCCACAATACCAAACCATAACTAAATATGTCTGCCTTATTAGTGATAATAGCGCCGGCACATTCTTCTCGTTTCAGTACTTCAGGTGCTGACCAACACGGAGTTCCTATGTACGATGATCTATATCCTTTAATTTTGTGTAATGTTCCATCAGCTTTCAGAGGTAAACTAACACCAAAATCGCAAAGTTTTGCGATCTCAAAGTTGTCTAAAAAATAATTAATGAATTTAGTATTGGTAATCATTCGATGACTTTTGAATTAATCTTACTCTTAACGAGTATATTTCCAGATTTAATATCGCCGTGTAAAATCAACGAAGAGTGCAAATATTTTAAGGCTCTAGCAATGTCTACGGCTACTTTCATAATACACTCGGCCGGAAACGGACCTAGGTTTTCTTCTACTCGCTTTTCAATCAAGTCGCATAAGCTTTGTTCACACTGTTCCATAAGCAACACCTTAAAATTAAATTGACAACGATTGGTAGGGAACACATAGCCAGAATTTTATCGACGACTTACCTCACGACCGTCTGGCCTTTTAACAAACGCTCTGTACCCAATAATATTCGGATGGTTAAGCGACGCCAAAACTTTAGCTTCCAATTGTAAACGATTACTGAACTGTTTACGATCTCGGCCAGCTTGACGACTAATTATTTTAGCTGCCCAAGGAGATTGTTCATCTCTTTCTAAATTAAATACACCGACACCTAGAACACAATGATTTTAGTTGCAAACATATGTTATTATTAAGTAAGTAGTTTTTAAATAAATTACCTGTCCCATATCCGATGCGTTCCAAAGCGGGCGTATCAGGTATTTTCGCTGTAGAACGCAGTACTTTTGGCGTAGAATTGTTGCTCATTTTACTTACTTTCGTGTATTTTAATTGTTAACGTTGAAGTAAAAAAAAATTACAAATGAGTTGAATTAAAACTACTATGATTTTATTATACTTAAAAATTATGATAAATAGTGTATTTCACGATTGTTGTTAAAAAAGGGAGGTACTATTCCTTTGTAAAATAAAAATAATCCACGACAAAACAAATGTTTGATCAAAAGAATATAATTTATAATGTAAGTAATTTTGTATAATTTTAGGATAAGGATAATGTAAACACAGGACTACTCACTACGGGCTTCCATTTTTCAAATCATTATTCTTTATCTTTCCGTTATAAAATTCGTTGCAGCTCATGGAAGAAAAAAAGACATTTGCATGGAATAAAAAATATTCTCGCTTAAATACTACGTTTCAAACACATCATGTTTGACAATATAATATTACTATGTAATATGAGTGTTTAAGTGTTATAAACAGATGTCAGATAAACTAATAGCTGATACTTTATTGTCTTTAAGCATTTGAAGAATGAGTTAATTTTTTAATTATTAATTACAAACGCTGTATATTGAAATACGGTAAACTTAAAGTAACAAAAATTAGTAACGATACATGTCCATCAGAATTGAATATGACTTTACCTACGTTTGACCCTTAAAATAATGACCTCATTTTTGGCTGTGTATTATTTAAAACAATTGAAGTTGTCTTGCAAATTAATAAAACTAATTACTATATTGAACAAAATTTGCAATCATTTAAAACATTTTTTTCAGTAATGTAAGGAAACAAAGTTAGGATACAGACAACAGTGCACGATTTTTTAGATATGGAACGCGTATGGCCTATATTTCGAAGAACGTTTAGTATTTATAATCTTAAATGTCAATTTCATATGGAATAAACTCTGAAGTAATCAATAATTTATTGTTCGATTGATATTGATCGTTTTGTATAATGCGGGTACTTAAACGTGTAATTGTTTTTTTTAAGTGCACAATTTATTATTATCTAACTAAAACGGGCTAAAAAATAAATAGTTTGACTAGTCATTTTGTTATAAATAAATTCTCCAAGAATCTAAGTACTTAACAATCTATATTAGTTTAACGTTTACTAACTTTCAATGGAAAATAAATAATATTGGCTATTTGAAATAATGAACAGCTGTTTTAATATAAAAATCAGTGTTTTTTATAAATAAACTAAATCCTCAAACAAAATAAAATAAACCATCTAAAAAATTAACCGAATTTCCACTATACAATTAGTATATATTTCATTTTAATGAACCCAAGAAGATGTAATTACACACAAGCAGAATACAATGAATTGATGAAAACCATTAAACAACAATCTTTGGTGATCTATAAATCCGTTTTTAATTAATTATATTTTTAATACATCTTTTATTCTATTATAATAGGAGTATGTCGGTGAGAAAGCAACCAGAGAATCCGGTAAACATATGCTCAGTTTTTTTACTTTTCAGTTACTTATTCAAGAAATAATATGTTGTTTCTAACACTTGCCATGTAGTCCCCGATACAGTTTATTGCTATCAACCAAATTAATTTTTTTACCCCAAGCTTAGTTATTGACTATCCTTCAATATTACACAATCATAATTTAATCACAAAACGCACTGACTTCATAATGAATTTACATTACAGGTACTTATCGTTATCGAACGAATGATGACGCAGATCAAATTCAAAAAAGTAACGTCAGAACGCAATATGTAGCTGACAGTGCTGGTTCATCAACTAGGAAATCAGTTGATGATAATGAACCAGTAAGTGTCATCTGTATACATTTATTTTTATATTTTATCAACTGAATTTTGGAATTTCATTATTTAGCATATCAGTTATTCTAATTTAAGAGAACACCTGCCAAATGGATTCGGTATAAATACATTTTGTCAAAATCTTAATTTAAAAATAAAATGTAGTACTTTTGTTAGCACACTAATAATGAGTCTTTCATTTTTTAATTAGGCTATTTATTAGCGTCAGTTTCCAACGTTTTTTAATGTTTTTTTTTTTTTTAAAAAATTTTAATAGCCTTTATTATAAATCTAACCGCTCAACAGTTACATAGATTAACGATAATATATACAAACTAAAATAAGAATGGAAAAAATATGTATACAAAAATTACACATTGTTAAAATAGCTTTACTTACCATTAGATAAAATAACCCAGCATAAAGGGTTTTTCAATGTTAGTCTTTATTTTTATTGATCAGCTATTTCCCTCTCATATTTTGCCTGTATAGCGATTTTTGTCTTAAATCTTTACTAAAAATTAGTGTTATATGACGTACAACAGGGATTATTTTAAATAATTTTGTATTGAAGAAGAATAGTAAAAAACACATACTATTTAAAAAAAAATATTATTTAAAGTAAACCTATGAGAGAAATAAAAAACCCACGACATACGGTGCACGATATTGTTTTCTATATTATATTAATATAAATTCAATATTACAAAGCTTTTCTTCAACTACAACAAACAAAACGTGTGGTGTCCTCTCAATAGTGTATTATTCTTAGTAAACAATTTACTAGTGCTACATAACACATTTTAGAGGAATTAATTGTATTATTTATTACAGGATGGCAACGAAAACGACGAAAAATTGAAAAGTATCGTTATATGCTTAAATAATACTTAATTTTATCACAATAGTTCCTATTTACGTCAGAAAAATGACTGTAACATTAACATTTCCCAAGGCTACACATTTGAAAACGAGAAATTAACGGAACGGGAAAACTATAACAAAATGGAGACCAAATGTTCGAGTGACGAAGATATGGAGCGTTCACCGAAAAAAACAATTAAAAGATTCTGTAAAGGACTAAGGGGTTGTGAAATAAAATCGCGGAAAAAATCATATAAAAGTTCAGAACGAACAAACTAAAAAGCAAATTAGAACGACACAAAAGTATTTTATAAGAACTCCATTGATACATTTTAAACACAATGTTGAAGTTTTTAACGTTGTTGAAATGTCAAAGTTAAGTTAAATACAAACTAGGTTTATGTAAATGAACATTATTGACTATACTTATTTCACCATATTATGTAGGTATTCGTAACCTACATTTTACATATGATATGTATAATTACAAATTAATGAGTCAATACAACATTAAAATACATTAAAGTTAGTAAAAAGATTGGCTATTTTGTTTCAACAATCATTGGTCGTACTTAAAAACGAAATAAAAAATAGCCTATTTTTACATTGATAAAATAATTATACTGTTAGTCTTAAAACTCCTAAATATTTTTTACAAAACGTAATAATACATTATATACTTAAAATATATTTTTTTTGAAAATGAACTAACAACATTACTGTCATAATGACACTGTCTTCAATTCAATTTCGAAAAAAGACATCCTATAATATTATAGTTACAATACCTAGTTAAAAATGATAACATTCAAAAGTCGACGATTCAAAATGTTAATGCGTCTGTATTTTTATCATAATCTCAATTAGACTTAAGTGTAAAGTTCTATTCAAAACCGGACAAATTCGTGATATTGTATTTCTGAAAATTCTGAACACTAAATAAGTTCGTGAGTTTTATCGGGCCTACAAGCTGTGCGCCACTTAATGCGACTTAATAACATAAAACGCCACTTAATCATACATAGCATTTAACATTTTCACAAGTCAAAGTTGTATCATAAATAAAATAATTACAGCCAAAACAAAATCCTACGTTTTCTATCGTGTATCCAACGCGAGATTATCCAGTCCATGTTTTGTAAAGCTAATATTGTTCTTGTCTAGAACATAAAAAATTCAAGAATATTTTACAAAATATTTTGGTATTCAAAAGAAAAACATAACATACAATTAAGGCTTTAGGTTACAGGGTCATAGGTATATAACAATTAAAAATTAATAGTTTTGATGATAGATATATTGTTGTGCATGTCCTCCAAAACCGTACCTTCAATTTTCGGTCGGGTCAGTCAAATCCGTGGCCTACTGATGTGACATCTTCTTATTAGACTATTTATCAGCTAATTTTTTTTTGGTGCAAAAGGAAAGGTTTTTGCGGAAAAGAGTCTTGCTCGTTATTATTATACTTCACACTATAGCGCAACCAAAAATTACTAATTTTTTCTTTGAAAGGATTAGGGAAACACTAACTCCCAGCTGATTGCACTTATGCTATTATCACAGATTAAACATAATTTAGATGGACAACGTATGTATATAAATTTCACACCTATTTCTTTGGATTCACAGAAATTTAGAAAATTAAAATTTACTAAAATATTTGATTTAACATTACTTACAGTTTTCTTCGCAGACATGCAATGTAGATACTGGATACGCTACTTCTTTGTGGAGACTTATGTCCAAACCTTAAAGGAAAATAATTGCCCGTTTAATAAAAATACTAATTTGATGACAATATAATATTCCACTCTAGCGTACCGTTAAGTTCTTTTTCTTTGGACACTCTTAGCAAATCAAACACTTTCAGGAATCCAAATAAAGTAATGCTATTAAGCAAAGACCATAGTATTATTGCACACGCCCCAATCAAATTATATTTAAGTTGCTGTAACAAATGTAAAATGTAAGCAATTAAAAATACTATAACACAGTGGTTAATTAGTAAACATAGTGGTATTTAGTACTATCATTTTCTATGGAACATAAACAAACAAGGCTCTACAACAAAATGGGCAGTTACTATTTTTTTTAAGTTCTTCAAAAAAAAAAAATGCGTAGTACTTATTTAATATGCAAAACCCGGTTTGGTTTTCGTTGGGTACTAATGTAAAATAATGGATTCTCTGAATTGAGTAATTATTAGTTTGTGCTAAAAATCTAAAAAATATAACGACTTATAATATTGTTTTCTGTAATAAATACCCATGTAAATTAAACAAAATTATGTCATTAAAATTAAAATTACGGCGAGGTATCTTTTAGTGATATGCGAGTATCCCGATTGGATAGATTTTCAGATTATCTGGATATACGTATTTGAATAAAATAATTTAAATAAACATATGTATTTAGTAACAAAAGTTATATTATTTAACTTGATAAAACAAAAATAATCCGAAAATCTAGATACTGTAAAATTTAGATTTTATTCCATCTAGTAACAGCTATAAATGCATTTTTTTTTTGATTTTATATGTATATATATTATATATATATATACAAGTTTTATAATACATTACCATATTTATTAACTATAAGTTATTCATTAGCTGTAAACTTTATGCTGTTATCAGTATGCAAAAAAAAAAATTATAACAACGCATTCTTTATAATCGGGCTAATTGACGTTATTATATACTTACACTAATGTTTTCGAAAATGCCTCCTTCAATAAAGAATGGTACAGCTATTACTCCCCACAGACCTCCTCCGAAATGCACGGCAGTCGCCTCGAGCGGATCGTCAACTGTAATTCAAAATTGTATCAGTAACTTATACTTATTTGTCATTCAGTAGAATAATATTTTACCATGGAGGAGGGGTACTAAGAATTGTAGCACTATATAGACCAGACAACCTATGACTCCGATGACGAACGACGAGATGTACGTGTAATCACTTACTGCACCGCAAACCGACACCTAAAATAGTATATATTTTTTTAAGTTTATAATAATAATATTCGCGTGGCTTCCAAGTATGCCTCAGGGGATCATAGAAAAATTTGTAAAATTTAGGGAAACATTTTTTTTCAATATTTGGAGTGACTTGAAAAGTGAAGTTTCACAAAAAAAAAAATGTAAGGACTACCCTAATGTTTATATGGGTGAAAACGACAAATACGAACGAACTTTTGGAGTACCCCTCGTGGAATATTGTGAAACTTATCCTGCATGTCTGTTACGATGAAAAGAATATTCTCAAATTTTTATAGATTTTTTTTTTTAATATTTTGGCCATAGCCGTAAAAAGTATTTTTCTGTACTCTTCTTTTTTATAGAATCTGTTCATAAAAAAAAATGATAAAAAATCAGTTTCTTATGTAAGATAATCTCAGCTTTCTAAAAAAAATATTGATTTTTTTTTGGTAATAAAAAGTCTTTAAATTGAGTTTATAATCTAAAAAGTTAAAAAGATAAAAAAAGAAGGTGTAATTTTATAGTGTCGAAAAATGGAATCTCATCCTATTTTTACACATAATTATTTCATATATTCCTGTGGTCCTTTTTAGTAGTTTATTCGATTATTCTATGAATGTCCAATTTTTAGAAAGCTGAGATTATTTTACATAAGAAACCGACTTTTAATAATTTGTTTTGATGCCTTGAGATACCATAAAAACGATAAAAAGAAGAGTATAGAAAAAAACTAATAACACTTTTTACGACCATGGCCAAAATGTATGGAAAAAAATTCAAAACAAAAATTGAGAACTTCCTTTTTAATATTTTTTCTTTCTTAAAAATTTAGGGTTTTTTCCTATTTTTATAAAAAGAATGTGTGAAAAAAAAAATACTCCACGGTATTTGTAAAATCTCTTTACAAATTGATAAAATATGTCACTCTACTGTATTTTAAATTATCTATTAAAGTTCTCTATTTTTCAAAAAAAAAAAAAAGTTTGGATTTTTCTAATAAAGTAGCATTTTAAAAGTATTGAGCAACACATTAATTTCTGAGAAACGTTAATTAACATTGTTAAGATAACATTATGGTATCTACTTGGTTATCATAATATTATACAGCTTATTACGATGATTTTACAGATTTACAATTAATAATTTTTATGTAAATCAGTCACATCTTTATTATAGTATACGCTAAACGTGTTATTACCATTCCAATAAGAATGGCGTTGATAGACATCAAGAACGGCCATCTAGATTTGCCGAGTAAGCCAGCTTTAGCAAATATGATGATGCATACGGCTCCTCCGCTTCCGCCTACGATCGTGTTGCGGATACTTTTGGCCACTTTAATACCGTCACCCGGTTGGGTAATGTGGCCCTGGGAACCTCCGTTAAACGACAAGAAACCTGTGATGATCAACAAGGTACCGATGGCCACTAGCTGGAAACGTACAAGAACGTTATAGTGTACAGAATATCATGTATCGTCTTTGAGCGTTTATTGAGCCCAAAAAACGGTAGGTGCTTTCACTCTTGTAGGTGCTATCATCATTCAGACCAACCGGCATTGAATGTCCCTTGAATTCTTTTTCGTTTAAGTAATCGAACCGTCCTATCCTAGGTCCTAGGAACAATGCGGCGATAAACGAGCAAGTTCCAGCCAGCATATGGACGGCTCCTGCACCGGAAAAATCGTAATAACCCAGATTGTTTAGCCAGCCGTTTGGAGACCATACCCAGTGCGCGACAATTGGATAAGTCACACCTGAAACGTCCCCCAAGTACCAGTTTTTACGATTATAATAATATATTACTATCACATGGCATACCTACAGAGCGTTTCTATTTGGTCGGGTTTGGCATTTTATTTTGCCGAACGTGTATGGTCAAAATAATAATATCGCATACGACATGACAACTAACAATATAGGTACACATTTATTAGTATGCAACGAGCAGAGCAGAACGTATTCATTTATTATTAATTCAAACACAAGTTGTTTTGGCAATTTATAAAAGGTAGATGGTATACAAGACGTTCTACGTGCCCTTTAATTTGTTTGATGCATACTAATATAGTTGTTTTCCTTAGAAAAATTAGTATTGTTGGTAGGATTCGACTCGATGGTAATAATGTTTTGCTTTTTACCTGATATTATTGTACTATAAAATATGTAAGCTATAAAATTGCATCGTTCGGCTACGGCTCCAGATATGATGGTTGCTGCGGTTGCTGCAAAAATAAATTGGAAAAACCAGAAGGCCATCTGCTTTTCAGGCAGTCCTACGCCAGCAAAATATTCAACGCCGTAATAGGGATTTCCATTTCCGTAGGCTAAACCAAATCCGACCAACCAGTAGGAAATCGAACAGAAAACTAAAAAAAAAACAAGTGATATTAATTACAATACATTCGATTAGAAAAGTAGTGGTTTTTTACTTTATTTTATTTTAAAAAAGTCAGCACAGTGGAATCAAGGCATAGTGGGGACTGAGCTGAGTTTAGGTCTACAGTAGGAATTATTAAAGGAGGGAAAGTAATGATGTCATTGGTAGAAATATTAACTATCGATAAAACCATTTTAAGGGTAATAAAGTGCTTTAAATTGCAATTTTACTATTGAAGGATACGAAATAATACGATAAGGATTGATCGTCCGTCTAAAATAATTTGTTGCCGTTGTTAAGCGAATGTACCTCCAAATCCCAAACAGTCCAGTCTGGGATTTTACAAATCCCAATTAATGTCGTAAACAAATGAGCCATACAAATATTATTCAGATACCTGTTAACTGTTGACTCAGTCACACATAGTAACATGGAAATTTAATACGGTAAAGTGTAGTTTTCAAATTTATAAAAAGTATAAAAAAGTTTGACTTCAGATTTTTGAAAAATTGTTTATGTTATAGCAACAATTTGGATCTAAAGTGAAAGCAAAAAAAATAGACTATACAAATTGTACAAGTCTAGTATTAAATCTAAAGAATGGACTATACAAATTGGGAACTAATTCGACTATTTAAAAAAAAAATATTATATTATATACATTTTTAATTTTTCGTAAATTTTTAAATATAGTATATTGACACTGTATACTCACACAGATCCAAAACATTTTTTAATAAAATGTTGGTCACGTTCTTAGGTTGTATGCATCCAGCTTCTAGACACGCTAGTCCGACTTGAATTACTATAAAAAATAATGTGGTATTTTATTTTTGTTTTACAGCTGTTAGGTTTTATAAAAAATAATGAGTGCACTCATATTTTTTGTATATTTGTAATTAAAATTGTATTAAAGAGTTAAAAATTTCCCTACACCACATTGTATATGTCAAAAAGAAAATATCATTATCATGTTTAGTAAAAGAACTAATAAGTAATGATTTATGTAATTTTCATTAAAAAGGTTCATACACGGTAAACGATTATTTTTTTAAAAAAACAACATTACTTTTGATTATATTATTATTATTTTTACTAATAAAATACTATAATGAATGCGCAGTGGCAATTTGACTAGCCAGTGTCTATTTATACTAATTGGTAATGAGCTATTTGCGACAAATGTATGATGACTAGTTAATTATCAAGTTAAGTACGGTCGATACAAACTTTGACAGTCATTATTTTGTTTCCTTTCATTTTATACTATATAACGTGTATGTAATTAGGTATGCATATGCTCTCAAAATAAATATAAGACGTCTATATTTCAGAGCAATCAAATGACTTTTGTTCTTTTAAATACCAAATTTTACCTTGAATTGTTCACAGACTAAAATTATTATAATGGACTAACCTAACTTAAGAATATAAAAATAGTGTAAAATATAATTTTTACGGTAATAGCTTGGTTGTTAAGTGGGAGTTTAAATTTAAGTAGGTTTATATATTATGATCAATGATCAACAAGATTTGTTAAGTTTGATAATATCATGCATCTCGAATATTGATCTAAAAAAAAGGCTATTTTCTGATTTTATCCCAAACCGTTAACGATACAAAAATATTATAACTATACTATGATAATTAGTGTACACTCATAAAAATGTTTACGTTTTTTAGCTTTGATGCGAAATTAATGAAGAATGGATCTTCAATTGTTGTACACTACGATTTATTTTTTGTTAGATAAATCATTTTTAACCCTTTGAGTCATAGTGGTATTATATTGAAACCACCTTTTAAATATTTTTTGGGGTTGTGAATTATAGAATCTTATTGAAACCACCATCAAAATAATTTGAAAAAATAAAAACAAAATTAATGTGTGACTCAAAGGGTTAAAAGAATTGGACAATTCTTATTTTTTATGGTTATTTATTATGACTATTGTTGTATGTGATTTATTATTAGGATTATGATTCTTAATTATTTTGTATGGTTACTAAATTTGTAAAAAAATTTAGCAAAAGTCAAATGGTTTACAATTTGGTGTGAGTACCCACGTGCATGTGATTTTGGTAGCCTGGCAACGTGTTAGCAATGTGGTATTATGATGTTTTAAATGGTAATTTGTATTAAACCCAATAGATTGTGTAATATATGTTTAATAATAAAGTGTAGAAAAGAAAACATAAACGGTCAAATGTTCGATAACCTATAACAGATATAGTAACCTCAACAAGGCATATATATTAGGTGCAAGTGAAATAAATAGTATCTAGCTAAAACAAAATGTATAAACAACCTTGAAGCCTAAAGTAAAAATAAAAGTAGAGCCGTTATCAAAATTCGTTTTTTTCCAAATTTGTTTACAAAAGAATAAACGAATTTACAACTAAGACGAAGAAGATTTAAATAATTATTGAAATTGATTTAAAATAATTAGCTTGCTAAACGACATAAATAAATATCATTATTGTTGTTATTAGTATTATTACTATTTCTGGGAAATCAAACAAATTAATCCTTAAATAAATTAATATACAATATATGATGTATAGTCACTAACCTAACGTGACTAAATTATATTATATAGCAGATGTATTACATTTCTGTGTAAATCCCATTTACACCTTTTACCTGTGGAAACGAAACATGTGTTGCTTATCAACAGTAACATAATAACAATGCGGGTTTTTTTAAACGGACTTTTTGGCTGTATATTTATATTTTATTATTTCATATGTATTTATATTAGGAGTCTTACAATAATCAATATTACAGTTTGAGGTCATCTCACTATATTTATGTACCTACTCGTGTTTTAGTCAAATCTAGTGTTTGTATAGTCTATACTATTTCTTCGAGTTTATTATAGATATAGTGAAGTGATATTTAAAAACAGATAAAACCAAACAGGTTTATGGCCTTTAAGAATAAAGTTAAATATCGTGTACCTATGCACATTTTTTTAACTTCCTACGAAATTAGCTCAAGGTAGTCTTGATGTAAGGCTTTTTCATTTTTTAAAATTTATACTTATTTTTACTATGCGGTTCTTACGTCACACAAAATTATATTTATGTTAATTATATCACAAAATATATTATTTCGGTATCTAGAATTGTTTTATTACATAACATGGTAAAATAGTTATTAAAAATAAACTTTCAACTAAATTTAATCAATAATCATAATATTCCATATAAATTACATACAAAATTTACATTTTTATAAATTTTGATGAATAATTAATTTCATGGTTAAATCAATTGAATTTGTTTTGTTATTATAATACTTAACTTTGATTATTATATGATACTCGACTGGATATAAAACTCAAAATAAAACGCAATATTTTAATACACTTAATTACAATTTAAAAAAACAACAGCTGTAAACATAAATTTGTTATTACGATATATTAAAATATAATGGTTTAACGATACAATATTTTTATTTTGAAAATTTAAAAATTCATTAATGATTACCACCCAGCTTTGTTTTTATTTACTGAGTAAACTTATGTGATAAGAGCTCAGCTAAGAAAATTCTATGTTTAACATTATTAATGGTATAAGTCTTATATAAAATATATAGTACATACATATACATTTTACCTACACTGTTTAGTTTTCGACATTATGTTTTAAAAATATGTTTAGACTCTAGAAAAATTAAATCCTTCAAAAATCACATCATTGTAAGACTAGTATTTTTTCCCGCTGTGTATCTAATGCCAGTATTACATTTCTTTTCTCTACATGCAAATATTGGTTAAAATATTTAGTCAATAAACTAATAAAAATGAAAATCTTTATGCTATATACCTTAATATTGTTATACTGAACCCCACATATAAGACTTTATATTAAACATTATAGTATTAATTACAACATTTAAAAGTATACAATAAAATTTGTCTAGTGTCCACAAACATTTGTTTATTATAATTTTTTGATACTTTTATTAGGCTTTTTGTTCATTTTTCGTTAAATTATTAAAATAATGAATTTCTCTAAGAAATATTATTAACTTAATTAGGTATCGTTAACCAGACAAGCGTAATATGTTTTAATAAAATTAAAATGTATTTTAGAATAAGATTGATATTGTTTGATTTCAATTTACAACGGTTATTATGAATATATATTTGGTGTATGATAACTATGATAAGATACAATCTAGCATATTTTACAGAACGTTGGAATTATCTGATATTCTGAATACTGTATAATAAATAAATAAAGTACATGTTGAGTTTTATTTTGTTTACGTTAAAATTTTCATTTATAATTAATTTTCTGTCAAATTGTATGAACTTAGAAAGTAAAGAGCAACATTATCTATGGGTGATATGACATTTATTTTATTTTCTTACTATTATTTTTGACTAAACTAAACGTAAAAATGTAAATTTTCATTTGATAACGCTTAAACATTTTAATGTGTAATTTGTTTCGATTACATACAAAAAAAAATTATCCACCAACAATTTGCCTTTACAATTTATCAAAAGAAAGATTTGTGAATTTAGCAAGGGTTTTAAAAAATATAACACTTACTAGAAACAATCACTCCGTTGAGAATTAAAAACAAATCGTCAACATTATTTTTCAGGTCTTCAAACTCCTCACGAGTTGTCGTGTTATTCAAGCTTGTTAAATTCATTTTGAAAATAAAATCAATTTAGTAAGACTCTGAGTAAACGTTGAATTTGTGGAATAAGTTTGGATAATGCGTTATTGTCCCGAGTTGAGTCGATCGATTGCCGCACACTGAATCTGACTAACTGAAGTATTAGCACGAACAACGTGCAACCGCTAATTTATTTGCAAAACTTGGAGAGGGTAGCAGTAATAAAAATAAATTGCTGCAAACATTGCTCATGACCAGGTGAAATTAAGATACGTTAATTGTATTTAAATAAGTATTGACTGTCTACCATCATTTTTCAAACATACTTCTAGTGGCGGAAATTTTAGGGATTAACTAAACGTTAATATATTATACGTTTATATAAATATATTTATGCGCTAAAATAATACATATTTATCGCAACGATGTCGCTTGTCATGGAAAAATAAAGACGTGTACAAAATATTAAGTATCTAAGTACGCACCTTACATACCTATATTAGAGAACTTACATGAATTACTTCATATCACAAAATACCAAATTATCAAGCAAATCTTAATACTTTTGGTCACTTCCGCAACGATTACAATTTACAGCGAATAGAGGACTAATAATATACTAAATAGGGTATTTTGATTTATATTTATAAAGATTTTTAATCGTTTAAATAAAAATACCCTTTAGCACTTAAAAAAAAAATAATAATAATAATAATGAAGCTTTACATTTAACTATAATTAAAGAGGCGATTTATATAGATAGTTGTTAACTAACGTCTTATAAAAACCCAAAACATTTATGAATAATAAAAATCCGTAGCACTTACCATGGAAATTTCTCACTTTGTGGATGGTTCAATAACATCTTAATTAGATTAATAAAGAAATACATGAGCTGGAAAATGATTGTGACTGTACGGAGAAGATATTTTTGTTATTATTACTCGGTATTAAATTTCGAAAACATTTTTATAAACAATTCGATTTAGAAAGAAGGATTATTATGATTATAGAGGGTTATTTAATATGTTTAATATTTCGCTGTGACCTGTATCATATGTCTACTTCAAATCGATAGTCAATATGACAACGGTTAGCGATGATGTCCCTTACAAAAATAAACACTGACAGGATTTGCATAAAATTAATTTCATGTATGATTAAACACGACTCATGTGTTAGCACTTCAGGGAGAAGTCAGTAATAATGTTTGCGCTTAGCTGGAATAACGGACTCACTAAATTATGTGCATTAGTTGGATTTTGTCTATCCATGTACGCTCTGTACGTGGAAGTATCTTTGGAAAACAACCCAATTTACAAACCTTTTTGCGATGTGAAAGAATACGTTAAATGTTCATCGGCTTTTCTATCACCGTAAGTAGATAAACAATTCAAATTGTTGATCCTACGCTAATAGCCAAAACCGCTTATAATGGTCAATACTTAATACATATTACTTGGATATAAGTTTTTCTTAACTGAATATTTTTAAGATTGTCGAATAAATGAATTTATTATTAATTGTTCTTCGTAAAATTGTTAATAAATTAATATTGTAACTAAATAATTGTTTTGGATACCAAGAATCGCTGAGGAAATATGGGAAGATTTTAATAATTTATTCTCTCAAGTTGTTAGAAAACTAGAAGTAAAAATGTTCTGGGCGGCCATGATAAATTACAATTTCTAAACCGGAATTGAATTCCCAATCCGTCCCTATAACTATCTACCGTCAATATGTGTAACACTTCACTAGATTAGTTATGAAAGGTGGCTCATGAGAACTTGTAAAGTAATTAAATTTTATAATTTTATTGTACATTGTAAATAGTTGAATAGGCTCTTATCGCATGATAATAATAAATTCAAGTGTTAAGTACCTAAATGAGTTTAGAGTAACACTCATTCTTAGTAAAAAATGTTTACGTTTTATCTCAATAAGAGTAATAAATAGAATAATAAAAATTACTTAATATTGTATAACAAACCAATTCTGCTTAACTAAGTAAAACAAAAATGTAGGGTCAAATTTCTGCATACATGGCTAATTAGGTATCTAAAATATAATTTATACCTTGCTTCTTCATTTACTATTACTAATACATTTGACTGACACGTGAAATAGGCTGTATTGAAAAAACCGACATTTCATTATTCAGTTACTTTAAAAATAATAAGTCAAAATGAGATTATTCGTCTGGTAAAACTTCACGGGATAGACATATTATAATTTGCATGCTATCGCTACACTAGTAACATGATATTATTTTAACCTAAAACAGATATGTAATAAGTCAATACGTGTTATATATTTTATTTAAGTGTTGGTGTACTTAGTTAATATAATTATATAAATATTATTAATATACCTAATTAGTAAACAACGTTATTTTAAATAATAATAATAATAATTTAGTATTTTTTTCTAAATAAAAGGTAACAGACAAAACTTTGGTTGAGATACAATCAAACTAGTAAATTATATAAAGGATAATACACATGTGTATTTTTTTACTATTTATTTATTTTATCTTTATTTTAGGCGCTGAACGTGAAGTAACCAATGCGTCACACCATGCCTTTAAAAATGTAGTTATATAGATATTGATAATAACTTGTTTTTTTTTTAACTGAAAAAAATTGTGAAATGTAGATTTAGTTATTATCATTAATGTAGAGCTATGTTTTTTTTAAAAAGCTAAAACTTGGTCAATTAAATTGTTAGTTTTTGTAGGGTTAATCCGGAAAATTATGTACTTAATACTACATGTACATACTTTTACTTTTTTAGATGGCTATTGGCTTGCCACTCGCTGCCTGACAAACTGTCCATATATTTCATATAAATTATTAAATTTAATTACCCAAATATCAGCTAATACCTCTTTTAATTTGATACTTTTTAATTAGTAGGCAGAATTATAATAACCGAAATACTAAAAAACTAAATTATTAGATATTAAATAAATGAAAATAATTTAGAAGTATTATCGATGTTACGTCGATGAATTCTAATTTTCGTGTCAGTTCAATTCAAGCCATTCAAGTCATCCTACATACTTATTATTATTACTAACACATTTACTTATTATACTTAACATACATTGTATAGATTGTAAATATTATCTTAAATAAAAAATAAAAATTGTAATACATTTTTAAGTAGTCTGTATAACAATAAGAAATTTGAAAAAAAAAACAGAAAATATATATAGTTAAATTACGCCTTACAACTGATAAAAACTATACACATGTGTCATAATACTTGCAGAATTACAAGGCACTTATATAAGAATTCCTTATTTGTTTAAAACTCAGTCATAATGTTATTGATAAAATATTATGATAATTTTTTTGTGGACAACTTTTTTTACTATTTCTCAAACAATGCATTTTATTCAATCTACAACTGTTTTAGAGAGAAAATACCCATTTTTAAATCAAAATTGGAAAATAGTTTAGAGAGAATACAATATCCGTTTTGTAATCTATTCAGGATTTGCTTAAATGTTTGATGTTGAGAAAAGCATTTTTTATGTCAGTTAAGCTCTAAAACTATTGTGGATCGAGGAACCGCTTTCTGCGTAGCTAAGATTTTCAATCTTATGTTATGTAATCAGTTGCGTTTTTCAGGTACGCCAAAGGTTTTGGGATTATCAGATATGTATTTGGAAAAGACACACTACTCAACGTGCCCAACGGCCTAACCGGAATGGTATACTACGCCCTCATGTTTGCATTAAGTATGACATTTTCACTATAACTAAAAAATGGACTGCGCACCTCATAATATATCATATTCATATTACATAATTTCGGTTATAAAAGCAAGATTATAATCATTCGTGAGAAGATATTTAAATATTGTATTTTATTTCCTAATTAGTAATAAGACTTTCCAACGATACAAAATTATATGATAAATAGTGGATGACTTTAACTTTGTCACTTATTAACGGAATGAGTTATAATCGACTTTACTCTACGGGACCATTTCGTATCATTCAATGTTCTCAGTCCTTTACTTAAAAAGTCTGTGGATTACAATATGGGAACCCATATTATGCCCACACTAGTTCAATCCGAATAGATGCATTTATTTATTGACAATATATTTTTAGGTTCTTCGGACAACCGACGAGCCTTGGACGCACTTTACTATTTGGCGATTGTGTCAAATCTGATGACGGTTTACTTGGCGTGCATTTTGGTGTTTGTCATCCGAGAACTGTGTCTGGTGTGCGTGACCACATACCTGGTGAACGGTTTGAACCTTTTGTGCGTTTTGGCCAAACAGAAAGCGCGGGGTACTGGCGGAAAGGCGAATGCGAAAAAATATTGAAATTTATTATACTGCGTTACGGGTGTATATATATTGAAATAAAAATAAAATAAATTGACAATACTTGTTTTTCTATTTAACCGCCAGACCAGGAATAAGGTAGGTACCTACATTGCGTGTGTTATCTTATTTGTAAGAGTGGGTGCCAGGCGAGTGGGTCAGGAATGTCGGCGGTTCGGCATTCGGGAGTGCCAAAAAATTATAACACCAATGTCGTTTATGCGATCTGAGCTGTATGTGACCAGTGACATTGAAATGTTATATTATGTCGTTTTGCTATACTAACCGAGTACACACCCAAATCTCGGTTTTGTTTATTGTTTAAAAGACATTGCGCGTGCGAAATTGTCATTGAGAAAAAAAAACTAGCAATTTTACCAAAAATTGTGTCATATCCATTAAAAATCGTCGCGGAGGACGTGCAATTTCAATGACTTCGCCATAAAATTCATTAAAAATGAAATCAAACAGTTACATGTTGCGATGTAAATGTTTTTAAATAGCATACGCAAATTACCGAATATATTACCTATCATCTAGAAGCTCACTGCATCGCGTCCATCGACGTACATCACTGTTCTAGAAACGTTTATTGAAAGATTGCTTAGCTTCGGCAATTCGAGTAGAGTAAATATTGTTATCTATATAATGTGTCTTCTCTGACGACCATCATATTAATTACTTAATAAGCCTAACTACGGTTTATACTTCACGCTATCGGTGGTTACCAGCAATACCCAGTACACGACTGTGTTTTAACACCTACTTATTTATGTTTTTTCACCGACATTTAATTATCCAAGCTATTCTGCTATAAAAGACTCCAGGAGAAATAAATAACATGGATAGGTAGTTACTTAATCCGGTTATCCGTACGCAGAACATAATATTAAGTACAAAATGAGCAAAGATATTCATTTCAACATGCGATAACACTGTAAAAGCAAAATAAACGTAGTTGTAAGAACGCACCTTGTAGTATAAATTCTGAGGGCAAGTATAGTTATAATAACGTATCTCAACTAATTACATCACTAGACTGGATGTCTATATAAGTTTTATAATATTTATAATAATATCGATTTAAAGCCAGTCCTATTTTTCAGGTAATATATATACTATGATATTGTAATAAATTTAACTTGAGAGTACAATTTTTAACCGTATATTGTTACAAGGTACATTACACAATAATCGAACTCTGGTCCCTCTCAGCTGACAACTAATATAAACAAATAATTCCTATTATATTTGATGTAACATATCAAAAAGTCATTTCTTCTAGTTTACCTGACATATACCTATCTATACATTAATATATTTTTTTTTCCGTCCAACTCGCAAAGTTAATATATATATATTTTTTTATAATGGTAAAATGTTTTGTATCAAAAAAAAAAACTATATTATGGTAACCTTGCGAGTTGGGCGAGAAAGCGTTTGGCGCGTATTCTCGCGTAGGTATTGTTATAATAATTTATTGTTTATAGGTAAAACAATTCACTCATTCTATACCTACGCGGTTTGGAATTAAGTTTGAATAATTAATCCTTGGAAGTTGGAGAATTAATTATTAAAGGATATTTGGCCACGGGAAAATATAAAATCAGTAACGGTACGGTGTTGCACGATATTTTCTCCTGGCTGCGATGCGTCGGTTATACAATAATAATGCCGGTGTTACGGTCACGATAAAATATAATATGGTACGGACGAGTCGGTGAGCTGCTGACGGCCAGGCCGGCATCAATATGGCAACGCCATCTGCTGGACGATTTTGACGGTGCGGCTTCGCGGCTCTCGCGGCCGTCCGTTTGCGGCCAGTCGGAAAATATCGGATTTCGGACAAACGGATTAGAATTTTCGAAAAAACACATCGTGCAATCTCACCGAAACGTTTCCGGACAAACGTGCAACGGTACAGACCGAGTGTTTTTACAACTGTAATTGTAGAAAACGGAGTTGGAAACACGTCGCTCTCGCATGTGTTCGAATGCGGCCGTTCGCTTGGTATATATACAACCGGCGGCACACCGGTGTACGGGAGTGGTGTGTCCAGTGATGGCATGCTGAACATCGATCCCTGAGTGAAGTTTAGGCCGATCTGCTCATGCGTGTTGTCACATGTTCCGGTGTCGCGGTTGGAAAAGGACACTCCCGAAGCCCACGGCCGCCCGGTCGCAGTGTCCCCGACATTTCCGTCAATCCTTCGACAAGGGGTCCGCATTTGAGAGGCACACCCGTATGCATCAAACTATCCCACACATCCCATAAACGGCCCTGCTGTTCGCAGGTTGCCATTTTTTTTTCAATTATTAATTTCAAATTTGATTTTGCTATGAATTTATTTTTCCATATTTTACACCGTGGCTTAAATGTTATTATACAAGCTTTGTTATAATATATCAATGCACAAAATGGTAACGTAAGGGGCTGTGAAGCACATAATTGTTTTTTTTCCGGATAAAAATGTACACAAAACCATTATAAAATAATTTAATTTGATTGGCTGACCCTTACACGCTGCTATTTTATTTTTATCATCGAACATGTTAACGGGGAGGGGTTAGAGATGCAATAACCTAGTATATTTAAGCCACGATTATACATGTGATTTAACGTATAGTTTGATTATTTGATTTGTAAAGAAAAACGATAAAATAATAATTATTATAATTATTTTATTCATCTAAGACCTCGTGCGTTGAATTTGTTAAAACTCAACCCTCTCTGCCCCCCCCCCTCCAGAAAAGATTTGACTTATTAACTAGCGCTATTAATGACATATTATAATGAAGCAGAAATTAATAAACATTAGTATATTTTATAGTTTTTTTAGTTTAATATTTGTTTGAAGTATAAAAAATGTGTTTACGTTTGAAATATTGATTGTAAAAATAATTTGACAGTTGTGTTTAGTATAGAACTAAAAACATATTTTATATTTCATAAAATATCATTATATTCAAAATTAAAGTGTTAGGTATTATTCCATTAGCGAATAATAGTAAAGTCGAATTGTTTTTCTTTAAATTATCTCTTAACCAGAAATTCAACAAATAAAAATAATATGTTTAGTTAAAGAAACTTTTAAATACTTACATCAAGTGTCTTTTTTGACCTTTGTACGCATTCAGTACATTTTACAAAAAAAGAAAAAATGACAGAAAATGCAATGAATTGTATCGTCTTTGTTTACAAGTTATCCTCTGTATACTTTATAAGATGTTTAAATAAAATGCAGTTTAAACCCTACACCCTACTGTCGTTGGTTTTATCGAATTCTATAAAATCAATGCGAATACATTACATTTTTAAACTAATACTATGCTTTGTACTTGTTTTTCTTGGTTATTGAATTATACGGAATACTATATTAACGAATTTATCGGATTGCAATTTGAAATTACTACATAACATATTTTCTGACGCGTGCAAACCACCCACATATTAGTATTTTTATTAAACTAATCTAATTATTTGTTTATTTAACTAATAAACGCCCATATTATTATGTAGGTACTTTAAACCTTGTTTTATACGGCACAATATAATATTAAATATAAGTAGATATACAGTGAAAATTAATTATGACGAAACAACAAACTGGTCTTTTGCATTAACGCTATTACCGTAAATTATATACTATTACATATTATTTATAAATACAATTAATTGTTTATGTAACACGATTATTTATGGTCAATGCAATGAAAAAAATAAACATACAGGATTATCGATAGTATATATTATTACACTATCGGCGATTTAATAATACAACATGTTATACCAAAACATTTAAGCGCATAACTCATGAAATAACCTAAAACAAAATGTTTTATTTCTTTTTTTTATGTATTATTACTAAGTAAATTTATAGCATACTTAAAGTGAAACGTATAATAATAAATGGTCCACGGTTGAATGTTTATCGGTTTGTGAGAATATTAATGTGTAATAATACTTTTATTCCATTCCATAATCCGTTTTTTATTTTTTTTACTTCTGAGAGTATAATATGCTTGTACGTACATACATAAACACGTAATGTACACTTATAGTGTAAAATACATTGTGTGCGTTTTTTCCCACTGACGCCCAAAACTATTGAAACCAGTGATTTCAATAAACCGTGAACGCCAGTGTACTTGTAATTATGCAAATAATTGTAATTTAAGTGGTAGGTGGGAAAAATTTTTCAGAATAACTTATTCATACTCTATTCGTGTGTGTCCCATGCATTTAATTGATCTTTTAAATATTATGTTGAATAAAGAAAAAAACCTAAGCAACAATTGTAGTTATATATTGTAAAATAACTAATTATTTAAATAAACCCTTAACGGCTTAACCACAAAAATGTACAATTTTTTTTTTGTGTTGAATATACATAACACAATACTCAACTATACATTATTGCAGTCAATGCATATAGTCGATAGACCCTAATTGTATCCTCCTAATACTAATAATACAATTTAAAGCACACTTTTACCTTTACATAATTTATTTTATCGATATTTAATGTTTTCACCGTCTACAGTTTCGCATGACCCATCGAAGCGTTTAATTGAAAATTATTTTATCACTTTCAGTTATGTTTAAGAAATATGACATTTCCCACAGCCCATTTTTTTTTAATATTATGCTGTGTTGGCTTTTGTGCATACAATTTAGTACGTATTACTTATTAGTAATTACGTACTTTTATTTAAATCTTTAATGTTTTAAGAAATACCAATTTTAATTTTAATATTTATTATTTAATCTATCTTTATCCAACTATTATAATGTATCATAATAATAATGAGAAAAAAACATTATTCAGATTTTATATGTTACATTATTATACTACATATTATTGAAAACATTTAAGAAAATATTATTAAGAAAATATTTTATCATATTTTCTTTAATATGATTTGTAACTGAGACTTTTAATAATTAATAATAATAAAACACACGAGTTATTGAACAACAACGACGCGACAGCTAGAAGTGTGCTTGTAGGTTG